ATTGATTTGGGCTCATGGTTTTGGTAGATATGGTCAATCATGGAAAGACAGGTGTGGCAAAGGTGGGCCCACAGTGGCAGCACCTGTGGTGGCTGCTCTCTCAAATCTCCAAAGATTAGACAGGGAGCGGGGCCTGGCAAGAGATCGCAAAGCCTACCCTACAGAAATGTACTTCCTCCAGCTAGACTGCCTCTCCAAGGTTCTGCATCCCACTAAAACAGTATCACCAACAGGCAGCTAAGTTTCTAGCACATGAGTTTGTAGGGGTCATTATACATCCAAATCACTGAACTTGTCTTTAAAAACAAACAAACAAACAAAAAACCTTAAACTTACTCAAATTATTTTTTGATAAATAATTTTTAAGTTTTTAAATGAAGTTCAAGTTATATTTAAAATCTTATCTTGGTTATCTTTATGAAGTCCAACTTATCTTTAAAATCTTATCTTTCGTGCTTTCTGGTGTACCTAAGACTCCACAGCCAAATTCAAGGTTATATAGAAAATTGCCCTGTGTCCCTTAGTTAGGTGTGGCAGTGACAAAATACTTCACATACTTAAAGGAATGAATTGTTGATAAGGGCTCACAGTGCAGAGGCTTTAGCTAGTGTTTCTATGCTGTGATGGAGCAGGACATCACGACAGAATGGCATGCTGGAAAAGCTGCTCACATCATGGTACCTGGGATGCAGGGAAAGGCAGGCAGGGGCTGGGGAAAAGGTTTGTCTTTCCTTCGGCATGCTATGAAGCCAGTGACCTACTTGCAACTAGGCCCTGCCTCGCAATAATGTCATCATAAAATGAATGAATCCATCAAGGGGTTCAACCACTAGTTAGGTCAGAACCCTCAAGACACGATCACCGTTATTTCTTTTGGAGAATGGTCTTGAGACAGGATATCTCTACATAACCCTGGCTGTCCTGGAACTTATGATATAGACCAGGATGGCCTCAAACACACAGAGATCCACCTGTCTCTACTTCCTGTGGGAGTTTGTGAGAGTCCAGCTCCAATCTGCTCCCACCTATTGAAGGGTTCTTGGGTGGAGGAGAGGGGGATGAGAAAATATCAGATAGAAAGATAGACCTAGATGACGAGGAGAAAGACAGAAACACAGGGTAGCTTCAGGAGGGCCTGAGTCAATACCCAACAGCCCAGAGGTTTATTCAAAAGGGCTTTTTATAATATGCCAAGGGGAGAGGCAAAAGACCTCCCTCTTGCAAGATTCAAGCACACCATGTAGCCAAGTGTAGACCTTTCCAAACACCTGGTAACCATGCCCATGGTCAAATCATCTCCTTATGCAGCCCTGTTGGGTAAAGCAAGCTCAGACTCTGTGACCCTGAGTAAGGTCTCACTAAACAGCCTCTGTGGCTCCCACAGCTTCCTGAGTTATACGACTAGAGGTGTACTCTACGATGTCCAGCAACGTTTCAATAATTGGCTCTACCATCTGAGAACTAAGTCTTTGACCCATGAATCTTTTAAGGAATACTTCATATCCAAACCATAACATACTCACATTTTCCCTTAAAGTTTTATAATCTTAGCCCATACAGGCAGGTCTTTGACCCATCTTGGGTTAATTTTTTAAGATAATATGAGGCAAAACCATTTTTTTGTGTGTCTACATGTAGTTGTCTTAACCAAAGCCCTTGAGTTTTGAAGTTGTCATTCATCTTTGTTGTGGTAACTCCTAATTGACACAAAGCTTACCTTTTCTTCCTCATATTGTGTGCACCCTCACTCTTGGTCACTATGGTCTAAGGGACCATGCTAAGTTAGGATTCTGAGGCGCTCATCTCATCAGAGGAAGGAGAATGTGGTTGTAATGAGAATGATGCCACATTCTCCCTGATAGGTTTTATTAATTGGCATTGAAGAAGACTATTTTTTTTTTGCTGTGGTTCTCAGTTGGATAAGGTTGAGGTTAACATGCTAAGCAAAGCAAGTCCATCAAAAACCTCAACGCTCCTTGTCTAACAAGTCGTTAGGGTTTGAAAGCATCTTTGTTAACCCGTAGACTCGATTTGTAGTTTGTGGCTCTTCATACACAGTCCTCACTGGGTCCAGAACAGAACTGAAGGCGGTAGCAGCATGAGAAGTTAGTGATGAGCTGAATCCTCCAGGAGCTTCCTCCGCTATAGCTAAGAAAGTCTGGCAGGTTTCTCCATCATTTTGCCTCTCCTTGGTCTCCACATCAGAGAGGTGAAGATGCTATAATCAAACTTACCTCCCAGAGATGCGGTGAGGATGTAAGAGTTGATATTTGATGCCCTTGGGAGAGCAGTTGGCAAAAGCAAACACCATGTAAATGTTTTTAAACTCAGTTATAAAGAGTCTCACTGTCCAAGATTATCTCTGTTGAAGTAGTTGAGTTGAACTGAGCCTCATTCTTTGGTTAGGACTTTTCCATTTCTAAACCTCTTCCACAGCTGTCCTGGCTGCTCACCAGGAGTGTGGGAACAGCTCTTCACCTAGCCTTGAGTCTGGAAACCCTGAGGGTAGAGATTGAGTGTAGAATGAGCTCTCTGTTCCTTGTCTCAGAACCTTCCCTTTCTTTTCCTTAGCTTGAAAAGAGTGCCAAGATGTCAGCCTCTTTTCTTATGAACCCTTCATGGAACAGGGCAAGCTCGAGAAGGTGCCTGAGTCACACCTGAGGATTGGCAGGTGTTGTTGCTGGGATCCTTAATGTAGGAATCAAAAGTGATGTGGAGACTGGGCCTGAGGTGAAAAGTTAAGGTCAGAATTGGAGCCACATCACTGGTCCCTCAAGCTCTTTTCTGTTGTAATCTGTGGAAGTAAAGCAAGTTATCATTCAGAGTTTTCTTGTCCCCTTTTAAAGACTGCCTAAGTTTAATTCATCTATTTTGTTTTCATATGCCAGCATTGGCATTTGATAACAACATAGCTGATTTATGGAGGGGGAGACCTTGAGGTGAATTATTTATTCTCCCCATGTAAAGGATTAGCTATTTCTACTTTTAACGAATTTTTGTTGCAGCGTGTTTATGTATTTTCAGATGGATTGAGAAGTTCTCTGACCCTTAATATCATATCACATAAGGCTATTTGCAAATCATATTAAATGTCCATGTTTGAACTGATTAAAGCAAAGAAATGAAGATTTATATTAGTGAATATGACCCAAGAAATTTTTCTTAGTGTATCTTGTGCTCCAGTAGAAATATATACATGTAAGAACAGGGCTATAACTCAACAGACGACATTAGACCGGCCAGTCCAAGGCCCAACTCCTGAAGCACAGTTGGATCACCTAAAGGCAGCAGCAGCCTCAGGGGATGGGGATGAAGCCCCAAAGAGGGAGAGACATGTTGAGCTTTCAAAGGCATCCACAGCAGCTGCAGAACACTGATTCCTGAATAAGCCCATTGGATGATCAGAGGCTATGTTTTTCTCTTTCTTGTTACATATCTTCTGTCATCTATCTGTCTGTCTATCTATCTATCTATCTATCTATCTATCTATCTATCTATCTATCTATCTATCTATCTATCATCTATCTATCTATCTATCTATCTATCTATCTATCTATCTATCTATCATCTATCATTTACCTACCATCTATTTGTCATCTCTCTATCTATAGTCTGTCTATCTATTCTCTCCATCTCTATGTCATCTCTTCTGAGTTGATAATTAAAATTTTTATGGCAAAAGATATTCCCTTCAACCTTGTTATCCTCTCTCCACCTGCCTAACTCTTCCTTTCTTCCATGATAATCACCCCTCTTAGTGTCCACCATATCTGGAAATATTTTAATGTAAGCAAATTGAAGAGGGCAGTCAGCCCTCAGAACCTGGATAGTTCCACGACCCACTATGGATACCAAAAGCCATATTATAGACCCGTTATGAAATAATGTAATCTATATGTATTATTCCATGTACTTCAAAGAGACTCTGGGTCACTTACGCATAAAACACTGTGTTGTTCTTCTAGATTATTTAGGGAATAATTGTAAGAAAAAGTCTTCACATAAACAGTATAAACATTAATTTTTTTCAAATATTTTGCTCTTTGGCTCACTGAATTCATTGGTAGGAAATGAATTCCTACCAATGTGTATCTTTAACCCACCCTTTTACATAAAATTTAGGGTTCTGTGTATATTATCCTTTGGTACATAGTTTTTCAGCTTAGCAAGACATTTGGGGGGGGTCACCTCATATAAGAACATGGAGTTATCAACAAAATTGTTTGCTATATCAAATTTGGTTTTATGTGGTGGCAATGTTTAGTGACTTCCCTACTCATGTACATGCTGACAGTTCCTTTGTGTCATTTTGACCAGCAGTGAATGGAGGCATAACCTTGTACACATTGTAGGTCATGTGAGTGTAAGTTGGTCTTTAGGATAACCTCTCTAGCATGATCTATGAGACTGGAAAGTTTATATGTGTGTAATTTGAATAGTTCTGAGTTTTCCTTTAGAGGGTTGTGCCCACTCCCACCAGCAATGCATGATGGTTTTATGCCCTGTGTGCTTGTGAGTATGTGTATCTAGGGAAGAGGAGGAGAGAGAAGAGAAAACAGAGAGTTTAAATTTCTTTGAAAGTTGTGATAAGACTTAAGAAAGAAGGACAGAGGAACAGAGTCTGGGAAAGGCTCTTCTGGATTCCTGAACATGAATGAGAAGGGCCAATGACTCTGGACGATGTTTGTAATACAGTAGCTAATAGTTCCACAGTCCTTACTGTGTGTCTGAAATGAATGGCTTTATTCTATTGACTGTTAGGAGATTAGATATGGTTCATCTTCATTTGGTTTTCTTCAGATTTTAAAAAACAAATATTGAATATTTGCTATGTGCCATAGTGTTGGTTGATGCAATTTTTTGTTGACAAAAATCCCGCCAAATGTCAACAGAATAGAAATTTTTGAGGCAAGCTATTAGACCAACGGAGATTCTGCAGAAAACACTAATAGATTTAACTGTGGTTTTGTTTCAGGTGCTTTATGCTGCTCCCTGGAGGACGTTGGCAGCTGCAGGGCAAGGTGAGCGGCTGACTCACCTGGTGGAAGCAGAGGTACAGAGCTCATTACTACAATGCACGTTGATGATGTGCTTGCATTTCATGACTCTCGGTTTAATAATTACAGTTTAGTTTGGGGTGGGGGAAGGGGAGAACTTGATTGATTGTGACGTGTGGGGTGTGTGTGTATGTGTATGTGGCGTACTGTAATACTAAGCTAAGAAGTAAATCTAATTCAACTACATATCAGACTTAATCAATAGCTTACACTTAGGACATACGATGCAGTACTACAGTGGATATTGAGAAAAAGGCCTTCCCAAATCTGAAGGCATGGATGAAAAGTATCTCCTAGACCTTCAGGTACCAGGTACTGGTACCAGGAAGAAGAAGAATTAGAGGATAAAACCAAGTAACACTACAAGCTAGTTTCTCATATTTCTTTCTCTCCCATTCTTCCTTCTGCCCTAGGCTACCTTCAAGTTTACTCCAAAACCCTGTCATCCTTGCTACTGTCACTGGTTTCTAGAGACCGTCTCTTTACCTCAGATGACCTTCTCTCTGTGTCCCTGATTGTGCTGCGGGACCGCGATAACTCTTGACCTATCTGCTCAATTATCGGGGCATTCTACACCATGGGCCGGAATACCAGCTTCCATTTGAACTGTTCCTCAAGGGCTCACATGTCGGGGGCTGAGTTGCCAACTGATGTGCTTAGAGGGTGTGAACGGATCCTGAGGACTCTGACCTAATCAGTAGATTAATTCCTTCACGGATTCGTAATCTGCCATCGTTATTGGGTATATTAATTATTTTTATCATTGCCATGAAAGAACACTTGACAGAGCCAGCTTAAGGAAAGAGGGGTTTATATTGGCTCAGGGTCTGAGGGAACGGTCCTTGGAGGCAGGAAAGACCTGGTGGCGGGAGTGTGAGGCAGCTGATCACACGGCATCCAGAGTCAAGAAGCAGATGCCCACGGGGGCTCACCTCACTTTCTCCTTTGACCCGGTCCTGGTGCCGCCCACATTTAAAGTGGGTTTCCCCACCTCAGTGAATGAAATCAAGACAATCCCTGGCAGGCCTGTCCACCAGCCCTCCGTGGTTCTAGATGCTGTCAAGTTGACAATTAACACCACCCACTGGACAGACTCCTCACTCATGCCGTCAGCCGCTTCTCTGTTCTGGATCCCAGTCACATTACACCAGTGCTTTCAAGGAAACTTCCCATGTCACTGATGAAGCCTAGCAATGGTTCTGCAATTTGATTTTTTTTCAGTGTTCCTATGTTGGTTTTTTTTTTTTTAATATTTATTTTTTTTTGAGACAGGGTCTAATTATATACCCCTGACTGGCCTGGAATTTGCCACGTAGCCCGGGCTAGCTTTGAATTCATGAACTGTTCTCCTACCTCTGCATCCAAAGTGCTGGGATTATAGGCATGTGCCACCATACCCTGTCCTTCAGTGCTATCCTGGGGACAGATTAGACCTAGTGGTTCAAGTTAGAAACCTGTGAGTCATTGCATTCCTCCATACCGATTCCACTCCCCAAACCTCTTGATCTTACCTCCTAAGTGTCTCCAAGGTGTACCCCTTTTAAGCCTGTGTCTCTGGGCTTTATTTTGTAATGTGAGCTGCCACTCTTGAATTACTAACCTCCCTCTCACCTGGTCTCTCTGCATCCAGTTCTCCTTCCTGTCTGTATGTCCATAGAGTCTAGTCTCTTATCAAGGCTGCGTCTCATGCATGATAACACACCACTTACTCAGGAATGCTTACTCGGCACTTGTTTTCACTTGTCATGGCGACAGTCCTGCGTTTTTCCTGTGTGATTTCTCAATTATTCCCTGCCTGACCCCATAGACACCGAGTTTGTAGGTGTGGTGACATCATCTGTATTTGCTTATTTTTTTTTTACATCTTTCAGCTCTATAGCACGTAGAGAGAATTTAGCAAACATTTTTCTCTAATAGTTATCACAGAGTTTTGCACATAGTTGGTACTAAACAGTCCTGAGCATAGTTATCACTAAATATTGAGTTAATTGACATTCAGTTGCTAGCCATCTAAAAGCACTGAAGGAAGGTTGTAAACTTTTATTTTTCATGGATGTAAGTTAACAGCTGCCGAGAATTTTAGCCACAGACGACAGAAGCCAGTTCTGATTTTGTAGAAATTTTTCTTAAAAATAAACAGGAGATTTTATAAAAATCACTGACGGTGTCACTACCATGAACTTGATTCTACAGTTTGCTCTGCTGTAATATCTACCCTAGTGCTCAGACTTGCTGGCCCTGGCAGGGCAGTGGGATAAAGCTGCAAGGGATCCTGGGAAAAGGAACTCTTCAAACAGAGCAAGCAGATGTAAAGCAGGCCACCCCCAACACGACCGATGTCCTTGGCAAACAGACAGCCAGGAAACTGTATTTGTTCCTTGCTCATTCTGCGATTAGGTCTTGACATGTACACAGTAAGTCTAGCAATGTGGATCAAAGGCTCCCCCCCTCCCCCGCCCCAGTTCTTTAACTGATTCCCCTGACTTTGTGGCTGATTGTTACACTTCATCATTAGATACTCTAACAATCTAGAAAATTAATGGAATGTCATCTACCAAATGCTGAAAATCAGCGGCAGTAAATAGTAATGTATTTCGAAGTCCTTAGATAAAAGACAGTCCCAAAATTCACTGTATCGTTATTTAAAATGGATGGTTTCTAATGAAAACGCTAAGTTCAAAGGGTTTGATGGCTTCTCGGGATGCAAAATGGGCAATGCCTAGAAGATGAGCTTAATAAAACCATCGTGAAGGCGCTTGCCCGAATCCTCTCCCCACTCCTCTGTGGGCATTAGAAGGCAGAAATATGCAGGCGCAGTAATGGGGGTAATCAGTCATGACGTGTGAGCTTATTATATCGGCTGCTTTTCACAGTTGGAGCCTTCTGGAGCTAATCACAGCCCTTTTGCAGAGTTCATTGGGTTGGACTGTCTAATCCATCCTCACCCTAGGCTGGGGCTCAGAGACACGGAAGAGGAGACCCCCCGACGGCACCACTTTACCCCTGGATTATTCAGGTGAGAGAATCGAGCAAAAACCTCGCACGTCCCTTCTCTGAGTTGTGAGTTCTGCCATTTTTCCCCCCCCAACAAGGAGAGTATTCCCAAAGGTCCCAAATGATTTCCCTTTCCATCTGTCTTTTCTTTTCTGGTTGTTTTTCTTTACAGCGCAGTGGCTTGGCATCCTTCTACAATTCTGCCAGTCTGTCATTTGCTGCTGACTCTCATGCAGAGGTCTAGTCTCAGCCCCTCTTGGAGGTCCTGTTCTTCTAGCACTGCCCTCAAACATACCCAGAAACACCTTGTGGATCTTGGCCTTCTCCACACCATTCCTTTCTCAGTTCCATAGCCACCTACCAAGACGCAGGACTCCTGTATCCTTAAGTGGATGTCCAGGGGTTATCAAGATAAAGTCATACTGTAGCTATGACTGTGACTCTTCCTTTTCTGGCCAATGTCCCCTCTTTTTTTCCTTTCTCCTCATCGACTGAGACAGATGCTGTCCATTCTGCTGGTGAGAAACCACAGTTCTGCAGGCAAAGTGACCCACATGGGCCTCCCCTTAGATGAATCACGTGGAGTCTAAGGGGTTCTCCCTAGCTGCCAATAAAGTGGGCACATAGAGGGATAAAGCCTCAGGAGGAGCAGTGGCTGAGAAGCGGTTGGCCTACAAATAATGTAGAACATTTCCACTAACCACAGGGCACCCAGGGTACCCGCGTTTGTTTCGTGCCAAGCTTACTTGGAGGGGGTCAGGGAAGGCACTACAAGTTCATTTTTTAAAGAAGTCACTAGATGCAGGAGCCTAAAATTTTTTTTTTTAACGTTTATTTTTTTGAGCAGAATATGGCTTCTGATCAGCCAGTGATTGACCGTGACAGGACACACACACACACACACACACACACACACACACACACACACACACGCCTCCCTGGACAGCGGACCGATCACAGTGAGGTGGTCATAGACTGGGAGCATGTTGGAGGGAGAGTGAGCATTTATTAAAATGTCCTTTGTCAGCCAGATTTATTCTCGTCTTTCTTCGTAAGACGAGGTAGCTTTGCATCAGCGCATCTAAATGAAATCATTTGCTAAAGGTCACGTGCAATCCCTGTGGCCAGTTTTCCTTTACCTTCTAATTAATAACTAAACGCTCACGCATACATTAGTCCCGGGCACATGCATAAAATAATAACTAACATTTATTGAACACCTATTATGTTCCGGGCCTTTTGCATACATTAGCTCAAATCCTCACAACCCTGGAAGGTAGGAATGCCCCTTTAATGGAGTAAGGAAACGATGCCCAGATAGGCCTTGTAATTTGCCCTTGGTCATGCAAATTACCGACTCAAGCCAAGTGCTCCAAGCTCTCTCGTGCCATGCTGGAAGACAGCTGCTTCCTACAAGGGTATCATGCCTCATGCCATCTGCTGTCATACTGAGAAGTCAGACGTCAGGGTGGACGTTAGGTCTCTGACTTTCCTAGTTAAACATGTCCCGACGAGAGCACGAGGGGACGGCTAGTCACCCAAAGCTTATCCTTCTTGATTGTTAAGATGTGCATGTCTGGGGCTGTGGGCGGATGGAAGGCTGTCTGAGGCAGGTTTCCTTTTTACTCAGTTCGGTTTTCTTCCATTGCTCCCTCATTGCGGTGAACTGCAGATTTGGACATGCTTTACTTGGCCAGGTGGTGAATGGGGCAAAGCAGAGATCAGCAGCCACGTGATGACTTCTGAGCTCAGGCATTTAGCACGCAGGCTTCAAGGTTTGTTGACAGGCATCACTTCCAGAGAGATGCAATAAAGGAGGTTAAATATGTTTCTGCGGCCAGATGTGGGGCCGCATGGCTGTAACCTTAACACTAGGAAGCTGGAGGCAGGAAGATTAGGAGTTCCAGGTTATCCTTAGCTGGAGAGAGCATTGGAGGCCAGCCTGGGCTTCATAAAACCCGCAGTGCTGGGATTCCTGGTTTGTTCCACCTTGCTGGACTTTTTCCATGGGTTCTGAGGTCCTCATTGCTGTGGGGGTAATGCTCTTGTACACTGTAAAGACTTGTTACTCAGATTGGTTTAATAAAAAATGTTGATTGGCCAGTGGCCAGGCAGGAAGTATAGGTGGAGTGACCAAACTATGATTGCTGGGAAGAGGAAGGGCTGGGTCAGGAGTCGCCAGCCAGATGCAGAGGAGGCAAGAAGACAAGGCAGAACTGAGAAGAGGTACCAAGCCACGTGGCTAAACATAGATAAGAACTATGGGTTAATTTAAGTGTAAGAGCTAGTCAGTAATAAGCCTGAGCTAACGGCCGAGCAGTTATAATTAACATAAGCCTCTGTGTGGTGATTTGGGAAGTGACTGCTGGGTATTTGGGAGTTGCTGGCGGGACAGAAACTTCCATCAACACTCCATGTTTGGAAAGCAAGCACATTTACCCAGTGAGCCATCTCCCTAGGCCCCTCTCTTGCTTCTTTGAGACAGTCTCATGTACTTTAGGCTAGCCTCGAATCCTTACTCAAAGCCTTAGTCAAGGCTAACCTTCAGTGGCTGGTCTTCCTGCCTCTAATTCCCAGGTACTGGGATTATAAGAATGACTGAACCATATTTCCCTTAGTATGTTAGGCTTGAACAAGCCAGGTTGGTGTTGAAACATTTATCCAGTGGTTACTTGACACTGCAGATTAGTGACAAACCTCTAAACGGACTCCCCAGAATCCCGTTCCCATTACAGCTGTCATTTTGGTGAATTCTCTGAGGTTGGGATTCCTTGCTCCGGCATCAGGACATTACCTGAGACATAAATCACAGAGGAGCTTCTCAAAAGAGATGTGACTCAGGCCAGTGAGGACCTGGGACCTTCAGCTTGTTCAAATCCGGATTCTTCCCAAAGCCTTGCTCAGGGGTCACTGCTTAAGGAATCTTCAGTAAATTCTGATTCAGAGAAAGTTTTGAAGTTTTGAAGATCACTGTTGAGATTTCAAAAACAGAAATGCAAATAATAAAAAAACCCCACAGGTATACTTATTTTTTCACTGTGCGAGGGTGCATGTGTGTACAGTATGTGAGTGCATGTGTGTGGTCAGTATGTGGGTGCATGTGTGGGGGGCAGTATGTTGATACATGTGTATGGTTAGTATGTGGGTGATATGTGTGAGGGCAGTGATGTGGATGCATGTGTGTACGCATGTGTGGGTGCATGTGTGTGTACAGTATGTGGGTGCATGTGTGTACGCATGTGTGGGTGTGTGGGTGTACAGTATGTGGGTGCATGTGTGTACACATGTGTGGGTACATGTGTGTGAACAGTATGTGGGTGCATGTATGTGTACAGCACATAGGTACATGTATGTGTGAAGTATGTGGGTACATGTATTTGGACAGTATGACTGTGCTACTCTCAAGTCTAACTCATAAAATAGTGAACACATTATAGAAAGTGATATTCAACTTACACAACATCTCATGGAAGATGGTGCAAAAATCCACATTCCCGATAAGCTCTGCTGCATGTACCCATATTATCAGTGTTTGAATGTAGCTCATACTTTTCCTTTGAGTAAACACGGCAGATTCTTCGTTCCTGTGAAGAGTTTGGAAATCTGGTTCTCCTGGACTCTGCACAAATTAGTGGCAGCCTTTGTTCCACGGGAGCTTTTACTGGAAATCTCTGAAGCTCTCACCTTCTTGTGATGTCTCATCACCTGGCCAGGGTTCAGCTCACCTCTCTCCGCGGAAGTGAAGCTTTATCAGTCTCATAAAAGCCCTGGACTGTGAACCTGCTCCCTGGCCTCCATCGTGTTGAAAGTGAGAGTGAGGGAATCTCATGCCAATTTGTATACATTTTTTTTCCAAGAAGAAAACAATTTTTTTTGGCAACCAAGCCACGCCTTCTCATCTGCATATCTTCTCCAGATGTGGCAGAAGAATTTATTTTTATTGAGAGGGTAATTATTCTCCAATTAAATTAGGAAGTGAGCCAATCCCGTTGTTTTGTGCCACAGTACTTTGGTTATTGCATCAGCCAAACTTTTTTCCTTTCTCTTAATTTTTGAAATTTGAACACGCCCGATAAGCTCAGCCAGTAAGGCACAGCGGAATGGTCAGCTGACGTTCCACCAGCATGGTTAGGCACAGCATGGGTGGTGTATTAAGCGGATCCGCAAGGTACCCTGCTGGGGATGTCTTTCTGTACGCTGTGAATGTGTTGCTCTGGGAAGTGGAAGGCTGAGTCAGGAGACACTGCCAGCTGCCACCGCCAAGAGAAATAAGATGTAATGATGCCAGTAAACCATGGGTTACGTGGCAAGGTATAGATTTATAGAAATGGGTTAATTTAAGATATAAGAACTTCATAGCAAAAAGCCTGCCACGGCCATACAGTTTGTAAGTAATGTAAGTCTCTGTGTGTTTACTTGGGTCTGAGCGGCTACAGGAGCCTGGTGAAAACAGGAAAACTCCAGCTGCAGTACCCCCCCTTTTTTTTTTATTGCATTTGAGTTAGTTTGCTTACACATCCCAATTAAAATTATTGTTTTTATTTCTCCTTTAGGTGTGTGATTGTTTTGTTTGTATGTATATGCATGTTGCACCATATTCATACCTGGGGCCACCAGAGGCCAGAAGAGGCCTGGACCTGGAGTTACAGGCAGTCGTATAGGTGTTGGGAACTGAACCTGGTTCCTCTGCAGGAGCAACTGTACTGAACCTCTGAGTCACATATCTGCCCTCTAATGTCCCGATTTTTCAGGAGGAAATTTGATAGTAGTTTGGTTTCATCTCCATCTCTATCCTGCCTGTTGTGAATAAGAATTTCTGGCAATTATCACGATGTATCATTAGAATAAAATTCATTTGAATAGCTTATTGGCAGGCTAGAGGAAGGGCTTGAACTGTCATGACGAGATCTTACTTGTACATCATGGCCATTAAAGGAGCCGGTTTTGTTTCAATTGACTGATGATTTATTTACTCACCATTTCAACAAGCATTTACTAAAGACCCATTTTGTGTCTTACTGT